CTGCCAGCCCGTCGCCTGCCCTGCAGTTTCAGGGGTCTGGGGGGGGGCTGCCTGCCAGCCCGTCGCCCACCCTGCAGTTTCAGGGGTCCGGGGGGGGCTGCCTGTGAGCCCGTCGCCCGCCCTGCACAGTTTCAGGGGTCCGGGGGGGGCTGCCTGTGAGCCCGTCGCCCGCCCTGCAGCTTCAGGGGTCCGGGGGGGGCTGCCTGCCAGCCCGTCGCCCGCCCTGCACAGTTTCAGGGGTCCGGGGGGGCTGCCTGCTAGCCCGTCGCCCGCCCTGCACAGTTTCAGGGGTCCGGGGGGGGCTGCCTGTGAGCCCGTCGCCCGCCCTGCAGCTTCAGGGGTCCGGGGGGGGCTGCCTGCCAGCCCGTCGCCCGCCCTGCAGTTTCAGGGGTCCGGGGGGGCTGCCTGCCAGCCCGTCGCCGAGCCCTGCTCCCGAGTCCGAGCGTGACGCAGGCTGCTGCATCTTTGACATTTCCGATGAACACAAACACCGGCGTTTTTCTAAATGTTAATGGATTTCTGTGCCCTCTGCTGGGTGCTTGCGTACTCGGTGCGCAATGCAGAGGCAGAGCCCAGCGACTGGAATTTTCCTTTCGCCTTAGAGAGTTTTGTTTTTTTCCCTCTCCTGCAGAACTGGCCCTGGAGTTAGAAGTTCAGAACGACTTTCTAGAAGTTGCTGAGGAAGCCCTGTACTTAATCCCAAAATCAGCAAGTGTCAGGGAAATTATTCATCTCCCACTTTGGGGATTACTCGGCCTGGATGGAGACTCTTATTGTATAAGGTTTGCTGGAAATTTATGAGGCTCTCTGGAAACCGGGAGACTATTGATTCCCGGTGAGTAAACACTTTAAGCAAATTAAGTGGTGGTAGTAATAATAATAATAATAATGGCTACTATTTGTCAAGCGTATGCTCTGTGCCAGGTATTTAATCCCTCCAGTGATGACAGGGGCAGGTTTTATTACCCAAATGTTACCCATGAAGGCACTGGGCTCTGAGACATACAAATGCTTGGCCCAAAGCCACACAGCCAGTGGCAAAGGAAAATTCTAAGCAGATCTACCAGCCCACAAGCCCCAGCCCTTCCCAGGGGCCACACCAGTGGGGCTTAGGGTCCAGCACACACAGCTCACCTTGGTTCCACCAACACGCCCAGGTTGGGCTGCAGGTGATGGGGCCTGTGAAAGACAAGGTAGCTCAGGTCTTGGAGGTAACCATTTGCCCCGAGGTCACACACTGGTTAGGAGTCAAAGAAGGAACAGACTCCTGGCCCACAGATATACCGAAAACAAGGCAACCTTATTAACTCCTAGCAAAACACGGTTGCCTGCAGAAGCCGCTCTATTTATGTATTTTTAGAAGGGAGACTGGCGAGGGTCGGGAGGAGTCTAAGGCATACCAGCCCCAAGTGGAGACTGCCTCCTTGCAGGGTTTAAAAGAACTGAGAGTGGTTTGAAAGGAGATAACTTTCTCACTCTAAGTTTCGGCGTCACTTAAAGTCCCCTGAGGTGCCACCTGTAAGTGGTCCTTTGGCCTGTCTGGGAAACACTGGCTGGTGGCTCTGCTTCGGTTGAAGGAGCATCCAGGTCCAGCGCAGAGGGTAGAATCGGTGGCCAAAGCCCAAGCTCAGCTGACACCTCGTGGGCGAGTCTTTGGAGAAAGATGGCAAAGTGCTGAAGAGCGGTTAGAGCTGAGACACCCAGGGGTGGGCGGAGGTCCAGAGGGGCAGCCAAGGCACCCCACCCAGGGTCCGGAGGATGCTGCAGACCAGGCCCACAGGCAGGATGCAGAAGCAGGCTCAGGGTCTTTGTTCAGCCACCCGACAACGTGGGCGGGGCAGCCGGGACTTGATGGCCTGGGAGTGAGGTCGCAGAACCAGACCTGGGGAAGATGCTGAAGCCACCTCTGAACCACAGCCTGTGTCATCTCTTTCTAATCTATACTGCATCACCTCCAGGAGGATTGGAGGCAACTTGTAATTAATCATATGTACAAGACAGGGTAACCCGTTACAACTCACTCAGAACAAGAGGCTGGGTATTTGCTCTGGGGGGAGATGACCTGGCTCTGCACATCCTGGCAGCCAAGGCAAGTAGGAACACAGCTGTCGTCTGCTTATACTGAGTGGTCCATCTCCAGAGGGGCTCCCTGATTCCAACGACTGCTTTCCAGGTGAACAATGGCCCTGATGGCAAAGAGATGCTAAGAAATCCTCCTTCACGTGGCTACCAAGAAATCCAAGGACACTCAGTGACAATTTCATGGGGGCACTAAGCTCAAAGGGTCAGGTCATCAGTTTTTTGGTGATAGGAACTGGAGAGTTCAAGAAAGGCACCAGGCGGCTCTCCTGTCTTCCCTCTCTGGGGCATCAATAATTTAGCCTTTGACCTCAGCAAGACTCCCCACCCAGCTCTCAGATAGTAACAGCTGGCACCTATCGAGCTCTTGCTGCTTCCCAGGCCCTCACAACGCCCCGAGGGACCAGGCTCTCTGACTACCCTCCTTCTTCTGACCACGGGGCAGAGCCAGGGAGATGTGATCCGGGGTCCACGCTGACCCCAGACTCTGCATCTCCACACTCCCCTTGCACCCAGTTCCTTGCTCTAGTGGCTGAGAGCCCAGCCTCACGAGAAATACAAGACAAGGAGGGGGCTGGACGTTATACCCAGAGGACTGACCCAGCTCGTTTTCCGGAGGAAGGCCATTCTCTCCGCAGAGAGGTGAGGCCCACCTGGGTGACTGCAGGCCACAGCTGATTCACCGCTAAAGACCATCCTCAGCGCCTTGGGGCTACAAGGATTTTAAAGTCCTACAAAAATGTTTGAGGTTGCTCCTCTCCCCCACCCCAACATTTTTTTTTTCTGTTGACTCTAAAGTATGACCAAAAACAAAACCTTCAAAAGAAATGGGAACTCATTAATAATATAATATAATATAATATAATATAATATAATATAATATAATATAATATAATATAATAAATATAATATATATTAATTATATATAATATCTACAGATGTAACATGATTGTGATCAATTGCCAATCAGCTCTTCTAGGCTGCAGGCATATTTTACTGGATCTGTGATGAGACTTGTTTGAATATGAGAGACAGGATATTGAGATTGTCTCAAGTAAAGAACCCAGGACCTCTAGGAGGGTTCAAATGACCCTGCCACAGACTCAGCAAAATGTCACCACAGAGAGTTTGGAACTTGCCCAATTTCTGGCCAAGTGTTTAATTGAACTGGGGCCGGCGGAAGATAGAGCACTTGCCTCCAAAGTTCTGGGGACAAGTGTCAGGCAGTTGGTGCTCCTAAAACGAAGACAACAGAGCACAGCTCCAGGCGGACATGACTTTGAGTAATGCCGCTTGTTAAGTTAAAAGGGTGCTCAAGTCCTCCCCCCAGCACACCTCATTAGCTAAATGAATTGACCCACTCGATGGGGTTATTTAATATCTGCCTATTGACTTTGGAGAAAGCCTGCCAAAAACAAGATCTTGGTTTTGACATAGTTGATGCTAAACTCTATTTTTTCCCTGACTATTATTTGTCAAACAGATTGCTGAGCTGGGTACAGCCCCATCTGCAGAGTGTGGAGCCCCATCAACACAGCTCTTACGCGCTATGACAGCAGGAAATGCGGCCAATTAATTTAAAAGCTGAATCCAGTTATTGGAATCTAAGTCAGAAGGAAGGGCGCCAGGATTCAATGCCATCTCCGTCATTTTAATAACACAACTTCAAGGATTGCGAGGCGATTCCAGGAGATGCGTCAGGATATAGGGCTTTAGAGAAACACGCATGGCAGGTCCCATGGCCATTCCCTCCCGTGGCTTCGGAGCCAGAGACTGCCCCAATGAGTCCCAAGTTGTTTCTACCACTTTCCTCTGTGAAACAAGTTAGTTTCACAATGGAGGGCAGGCCCCGGGGTGCGCCTCAAATGTTCAATTCTAAAATAAATCAAGCCAACACTTAAGAACCAGAACTTATATCAAAAAGCCAGGTTTGCAGCTCTAGACAGCTTAGAAAGATCTAGCAGCCTTTGACCCCCAGTTCTACTGGAGTTGAGCCATGGCACCCTCTTCAGACAGGGCGGTGCATGTCAGTTAGCCCCAGACTTCACCTTTCCTTACTGTCTCCCCTCCCCAGCTGACTCACCCACACAGCAGGCCCGGCCACACAGGTCTATAGCTTTTGTGAGGTACAGAGCCTCTAATTAAGCATAGACACTGCCCCATAGGGTCCTGCAGCAATCCAGATTCCAGCAGGAAACGAGAAAGCTGGTGGGAGGGGGTGCTTGGGCTCTTGGGGATGGGACACAAGGAAAGAAGGTGCCAGCTCCTTCTACAGGCTCACCATCAACTGCCTCTTCGACATTTGATGCCAACTTGTCACCTTTCAATAAATCAGGTGCTCCGTGAAGACTGTGTTTGGAGAACCAAGCTCTCCCTCGACCCCCACCCCAACCCTGACACCAGCAGCAGACCCCTCAAGGATGGCTCAGGAAAACTTCTGGAACATTACAGCTGGGGGAGCCTTCAGTTCTGTGAGCTTTACAAGCTGAAGCTCACAGCCCACACTGCACACGACCTCCCGACATTTGCCAACACTTGTTTTACACAATAACAGCAGAGCTGTTCTCATTATTGCTGGGAACTCCTATTATCCAGATGCATTAGATGCCTCCAGACGAGGGAGAAGGTAATTGGCTCTCATCACCCCAAGCGGCGTTATCGGGCACCACGTACAAATAGCTTAAAATTAAAGGCTGGCATCGAGCCTATTAGGACCATAATGGATTACAAAAGGAACACACCTCACCTATTTCTATCAGCTCCCTCCCCAGGTCATTTGCAACCAGGACAAATAATTTACTATCTGATTCAGATTAATTGCCATGTTTTCCTGCCTTCCTGCTCACCAAGGGTCACCGTGGATCCGAGCTCTTAAAAAGTTACCCAACTCAGCTTTGCCCAGCCAAAATCCCCAGTGGGAGCTAAGTTGTGTTCATCTCCTTGGAGCCAGACCCAGACTTTCCTCCCTGAAAAGCCTTGTTCAAGTTCAAGTCCGTCAGGCCCTTTGGGACTTTGTCGTCCAGCAGGACTGGAACATTCGCTGCTCATCCTGCCTGCGGTTCAGCTGGTGGGCGATGGTCTTGGGGGTCATCCCTTTGGCATCCTTGGCATGGATGGAGGCCCCGTGGAGGAGGAGGAGGCTTATACAGTCCGACTGGCCCATGGCTGTGGCCACATGCAGGGGTGTCCTGCCCATGGGGGATCGGCCGAAACAGTCAGCTCCTGTAAAATAAGAAAGTTGGCTGAGGGAGGCCACCTTCCTGCCGCGTTCAGGAACAGAAGCATGGGAGGGGCCGAGGCTGTGACAGGAAAGTTTAGGAGAATTAACAACTATCCCCAAGCTCAGCTCAGCACTGGGTCTAAGGGAGGGGTCAATGCATCCCCCAGCATCCAGCATGACCTTGCCATTGCTGACACCCACTGCCCTTGGGGTAACGTTCTAGGTCTTTCATCCCACCTCCCCCTTACCACTCCAGCAACACCACCCCCCCAACGCGCTTCCTCCTCACCCTCCATGCTCTGATCTTACCAGCCTCTCATCTTTACCCCTTAAATGTACCCCGCTCCCTTACCCTGCCCCTGGCCCTTTGCACATGCTATGCCCTTTGCCAACAACACTCTCACCCTTTTTCTCCCCTTGGGTTCGCTCCACCCTTCCTTAGGTCTCATTCACTTCCTCGGGGGACTCTTCCCCCCCCCCCC